AAAAAAAAAAAATCTACTTATAATGAAAACAGGATTTTATTCCGCCTGTCTTTGGAAAATAGTAAGCATTCATAGTTCTTCCGAGAATATAAATTCTGTGATGAGCACTTGAACTGGCTTTAAAGATATGTTGTTATTTTACTAGTTGTTTGTCGTTGTAAGCCTCAAACGTATGTGGTTACTATTTCTTGATTGACGTTTGGTAAATAATATTTTATTTGCTGAAAGAACCTGTTGATTTTGTTGAATCATCTAAATAACCACATAATATATTGTTAATTGAACCCAGAGAAGTGATGACTAAGATCGTAGACGCTGATTAAACCAACGACATCACGAAGTCTTTCTTTCATTTTAATCGACTCATCGAAATTAAAGCGGATTCCGTACCCATCTAAGTAGCGAGCGCATTGGTCCCTTGTTAAGCCATCAATGTCTTCAACAGATCGAATTTCTGGCAAATCATCATCTGGCTGAGTCCCATTTAGAAAAGGAACGATATTAATAGGAAATCCCATTGATCTTAACTGGATATTTTCCGTTTTTCTATTTCTCATATCCATTCCGTTGAATCTCGTTTCCATTCCGTTGAATCTCGTTTCCATTCTGTCGAATCTCGTTTCCATTCTGTCAAATCTCGTTTCCATTCTGTCGAATTTCGTTTCCATTCTTGAAGGGAATGCATTCTCATCGGTCAGCCAATTCTGAAACCATCGCGGTGGTTGATCTTCAGCAGCCTCTTCTGCTCGTCTTAATTGATTAGCAACATTTTGAATAACTTGGATTCGATGTATCATGTCAACTTCATTTTGAAGCTGTGAGCTTTTCACAGCAAATTCAAATTCTTTTAAAAACCGATTTACGTCTAAAGAAGTTTCATTCTGTGGAGGAGAGATGTTGAAATCGTTCGCATAAATATTTTCCATTTCTAGAAATTGGTAAAAATTGAGTTATGTACGATGATATGCTGCTAAAATATAAACAAAGCTGTTTGTTATTTTTGAATTGTCGTGGTGCCACTCGTTAAAAGCTGCGAGCGCACTTCCTAGTAGAAAAAATATCGTACTGATACTTTAACAGTGGAATGAATGACAACACTAAACAATAATTGTGCAATATTTGGTTTACTTTGTTACAAATGTTAACAAGCATTAAGCTAAGCTATGCTATATTTCACTAATCATTATTTCTGCCGTTTACTGTAATGGTAATAATCTCACACGTTAGGAGAATGTTTATTGAACGATAATAGTAATACAATGACAGGATTGTATACGCTTATTGGACTATGTTGTAGTACATGAACAGTGTAGAAATGTTCGGAGATCTTCTTAGCTAATTTAGAAAGTGTTTAGGGATCTTATTTAGCCAGACCAGTCGAATCTTCCAATCTGAAGGTTTTGACTGTAGACGTAAGAGTATATATAGATTTGCTAATCAATTTGAGTAAAAGATTTATCAATAAAAAAATTAACTGTACCCGTATCTTTATTCTCTGATCATTCGTATCTTGATTTCTGTATTTCGTTTTTCAGTCGTTTGTTTCCTTTTCGTAATGTATTGTCCTTTAGCTTTATGACAAATATTCAAAAAAATGCTCTTTAATAGTGGATAGTAATATATATAATTTTAACAAAATACATATCGTCACAGACAGACAGTCATTCATAAACATTACGTACAACTTAAAAGATTACTTCATAGCGTTAGGGTAATAAGAATATTGCCGTAACGTGACTTATTCATAGAAAAAATGACCATCCGCTGAAGGCAACTTAGCAATTCCATAGTCGGTTAAAGATTTAGTCAAGAACTAAGGAGCGTATATTCTTCATTAATAAACTAAGCAACAACTTATCTAGTATTGGCAATATTTAACATAGTGAAAAAAGAGGCGTTACTACCGGTATGTCTACAATATCTAACGTTGTTTTCAACGATCACACAGAGTTGCAAAACTATTACAACTATATAAAGTCGTCTACGGATGATGATTCTGCAACTCGTTGGCGAAATCAATTTGTGTGGGAGCTGGCCCGGTACCTGGTAGGGGAGGAAATAGTCGTTTATCCTAAACTCGCTAAATTCCTTGGGCAATATGGACAAGATATGGCGGAAAAGAATAGAAAAGAGCATCAAGTAATAAAGGAATACCTATATAAGTTTCAATCAATGAAACCAAGCCAAAAAGAATTTATTCCGACGGTTGATGCTCTTATGAGCCATCTTCAGAAGCATATTGAAGAAGAAGAATCTCACGAATATCCCGAGCTGGAAAGTAAATTGGGAGTTGAAAATTCGAAGCATTTAGCAAAAACATTTGAAAGAACAAAAATACTTGTACCAACTTATAGTCATCCATCGGCTCCTAACAAACCCCCTTTTGAAACAGTCGTCGGACTTTTTGCTACGCCCATTGATACTTTGCGGGATTTGTTAAGAAAATGGCCTTGATAGTTTTATTTTTTCGCCTGATTCGATGAATTTCAGTCCTATAACCAATACCATGTAAAACCTTCTAGAATCAGTCGTAGGACCGCTGTTTAGGTACGGATAGTTCAATCTGATTTAAGAATAAATAGATTTGTTGATTTTTCTGTATGAGAATACCTGAATTGGATTTGGAGAGTAACTATTGGCAGTATCGAATAACTACAGTAGCAATACTTTTGATAATCCAGCAAAATAAAAAGAATAAGCAATGAATCAAATTTGATTTAGTTGCATCCAAAGCAATTAATAAAGAAAAGCTTGTTTGAGTTTCAATAAATATAACCTACAAGTTGGGAGAATAGAATGAATACACACTGTAATTGGCAACGCAAGACGAAAAGTACTGCTTCTATACATCTCCCATACGTAAAGTAAAGTTGGAATACGCGAGGACAAACTGTTCCATTATCATACAAAAGAGGAAATGGAAACTAATTATCTTGAATTATCTAGAACTGACGGGCAAAAATAAAGCAACAAGAAATGAAAACCAAGAAACCAAAAGGAAAATAAGCAGAAAGTTTTAGTAAAAACAAGTAGCTAAAAGGTTCAAAGAACCACGAGGACTTTCCTGGAAATGCTGGGTGGTGGCAACGTTATTGCGTCTAGAAAGTACTAGCTCGATTATGGAATGTTCAGGGCCCTTTACTGAGCAAGTATAAATAAGAGAACGGTAGGGTCGAAATCGACAACGGCAAACCTAAGGAAAACGATTGTATTTACCATTTGAAATTCTACAAACGATTACTCATTTCTTAAGCGTGCACTAATTATCACAATGTCTCTTCAACCTTTCTTCGATTTGCATCCATTTCAAGACGTCTTTTCCGACTTTTTGAGTTATTCCCCTCGCGTTCAACGCCAGGATCGTGCTGTTGATTTGTCACCTGCCATTGATGTCCATGAAGACAAAGACACGGTTGCTGTTGATGTAGAACTTCCTGGTGTCAAAAAGGAAGACGTTCAAGTTCATTACGACGAAGGAAAACTTACCGTTTCTGGTAAATCCGTGAATGAGCGCAAGAGCGAGGGAGATCGTGGAAACCACAGATGGTCTGAACGTCGCTTTGGATCCTTCTCCCGTACTATCTCCATCCCCAGCAGGATCGATTCCGACCGTATTGAAGCCCAATATTCCAATGGCATTTTGAGTATTGTCTTGCCCAAGATTGAGCAGTCCCGCTCTAAGAAACAAATTACTATTAACTAAATTTGAGAAAATTATGATGCATATGAGTTTATGATGAAACGTAATGCTATGAAATATTTTAATGAGAGTTCATGAAAATGCTATTAGCAATGTTATAAGAGAATGAGAATGATAATCAATAAATGAATAAATTTTCAATGCTACATAAAAAATTAAGTCAATATAACGTAGTAGCCGTAACTTCAGGAAAATGGTATTATAATGGAGAAATCTAGAAAGAGTAGATAGAGGTTTAATGGTTCCCGGAATGCGCGTCAACCGTAGTACTAGGGAAGCCATCATAATTAGTTACTTAAGTATAGTGATCAGACGGGGAATAGTGTTGCCAAAAGTATGTTCAGAGACATATTTGAATATCTTTAAAGGAGTATTACTTATGACATTTCACCAAAAAAAAAAAAATCGAAAACAAAAAAAGGAGATAGCGTATTTCGAAAACACATAGTTGAAAATGATGTCTCACTGATGACAAGTGCTATTCGCTTACATAAATAAGAATCGCTAGATTTCATTTCATGGTCGAGCTTATAGGTAATGAAAGAGAACAGGTTTAGGCAAACTTATTAACGCCATCTATATCCTAATTACCACAAACACTGATTGTTACTAATTATTTGAAACGTGTAAGATGAGGATGAGGAAATTTCTTCATGAATCGTTGGCTGTTTCTTTATACCGGGAAACTCTAAAAGGCTATAAAGCCCAATTGCATAATCTAATGGATATCGAATTACAGTTGGTAGTATTTTTCGTTTGCAGAAAATAACGGTAACAGGGATGAATAACCAAAGTAACCCAAGTAAATCTATTTTGATTGAATAATTGAGAATTTCATTGTTAGTTTGCTACTTAACCAAAAAGTACGACACTAAGAAAAGGTCCACCAAGATTGGTTAATATCTTACGTACGCTCTCGACTTGAAGACTAGCTATATTAATAATTCTTTTCTTGCCAAATGGTTGTTTAAGGAGAGTTATTTTATTAAATAAATTGTACGTTGAATACTTCAAGCTCGTCGCCTGCTTCAATTCAGAATATCGACTAGGCTAGGCTTGTATAGAGGTTCAAAGACAACCCAAATGTGAAATCTTAGTGCTATTTCCTTACTAATATGTATATTAGACGTGGTTGATTATCAACATTTATACTGAAGAAAGTTAGCTTAGACTCACTGCTGACATTTATTATTTATTTTAGTTTGGGGAAGTGAAGAAAAGAATTAATGAACGTAGAATAGAAGTATAATCAATCGTGCACCAAAAATTGGGAGATGTTTTTCATAAAATATTTGTTCTGCTTTACGCTACTAAATCTTCAAACGAAGTATCCTATGATGCCGCCAATGATAAATAGGCTTGGCGATAAATACATTTATAGAGCTATTTAGATATCGTTTCTGCAAGCGTCCGCTGAAGACTCAAGTGTTGCTTGTGTTCCTGGCAGATTCTCTTCAACTTTCTGCTATTCAAAGGTTCACCCAAGTGCTTTCAAGTATCACCACGAAAGACTGAATTTACAGGAACATTAAATGAACATTTTACACCAAAAGTTTCTTCTTTTTAAATCGCAAGAAATCAACATAAATCAGCTTTACGTAAAATCTTGTAAAAATAGCATCCTCTACGGAATAGCATCCACTATGGATTTGGGACGAATTCAATGAACACAAGTCCAACCTAAAAAATATATATATCATATATTTTACATTTCCTTAATCTTTATGTCCACTTATTCTTATTTGTATATTGCTTGACTAAGTTTTATGATTCACGCATTCGGAAGTATTTCATCGAGTGGTCTGCTGTACTAGACTTTTTAAAACGGCTAAGGAGAAAAATATTTTTTTGTTGTCCTTTCTGCCACGCTTCTTTTAGGCTTTCCCTGTACTGAAAGGCATCATTTGCTCTCTAAACTCGGATTTGGACCCTATACGTTATGGACATTTTTTCTGAGTATTTTTTTGTGTTATTTTGTCCATAGATTTGGAAGATCTATCATTCTTATGGGTTTCCTCTTCCTGTAAACCAGCGATTTCTGGCAGATAGGATACGGTTCGTTTTGGGATTAATTTTCAAGATTAAAAGCATGGATCAGATATAACAAATACCCTAAAATACTTTTTACTGTATACCAAACTGTTTTTATACGACATTGTTATAGCTTGTTGCTCAATATTCGTTTTTCATAATCTAACATTTACTTTTTATAGTCTATAATTTCTAAAATGTTTATTTCATTTTTCAACTTTAATTGAAATAGAATCGAAGGAATATGAATACCAAAAAAAAGCAAAGTAGTTATAATAATAAAAGGATAAAGGCATAAAGAACTAACTAACCAAGATTTCCTTATTATCACTGAAAATACAAGACGAATCAATCGTTTGTATAAGAAGCAAGGCAAGACATAGCATGCAACATCGTTAGAGAACTATTCATTTTACTATGAGAAATTATGTACTAGTATTCTATTGAAATTCAAAAGTATTGTAAAAAAGGAAGGAAAAGTAGAAAAGAAATATATATATAACGTTCAGGTTAGTAGGGTCAAAATAACTGATGTCTAGTAACATGAAAAGGTGTACAACAAGACGATTTTTCAGTCAAATGATACATGGTTACAGAGGTTTCTGGAAAAAATGCATTATCAACAGGAAATCAGAAAAGGTATTTGTCATGCTTTCGATTTAAAAAGGAAGCGGGGAACAAGAGGGGAAACCCCCTGAACCGCATTAAATTTTACTATGGATAATAATGTGACCGCACACCGATATAATGCTCATAAAAAGCAAAAAACTTCTTTAAAATAAACGAAAAAGTTCTGTCTAACTTGTGGTTGATACGTCGGCAAGTAAGGACCAAAATACATTGTGTTTACGATCAGAAACAAACTTACTGTTGAGTATTAGCACTGTAAACAAAAAGTTGAAGTGCGCGTTGCTATTTTAACAAAATCGAAAGCTTACAGATAAACGCTAATCGGGTCGCCTAAAACGTCAGTAGTAACTGTTTGAAAAAATGAGGTTTTCTATTTTCGTAATAACCCTCGTCTATTTTTCACTCGGATGGGCTGCTCCTTACGGCAATTTTTCTAGAGAAATTAACAACACAAATGTAAAAATTGCTAATTATCCCTTTTACGTCCAAAAATTTCCGTTTAGTCCTAACTGTAGTGGTGATGTTTCATTCATTATAAATTCTCCTCCTGTTAACGGAAAAGGTATCATTTTGGAGACGAGAAGGGCTAGCTCTATTTTGACAGTTCCTGCTGATAACTCCAGTGTTACTTGTGTCAATTTTGAAAATAAGAAGGAAACATGCTACTCAGGAGATTCTCCTAAATGCTTCAATGTGCCACAATTCGAGAAAGAGGTTGTTGTTGTAATGAGAGATTCTTCCCGTCCAGTTGAGGATTTATCGACGACAGCTTTCGATGATTATTATATGATAACCCCAAATATGACATACGCGTATTTGAATTCAAGCACACAATCTTATAGTAACACATCGCAATTGATTTACAAAAACTATCTGTATCCTTGTGGGGGTAATCAAACATGTCAATTTGACTACCTGAGCAGTGAAATTATTCTTACTACAAAAACTTCTCACAAGTTTTCTTACAGTATTAAGGAAAAAATTTATGCTGCAGAAGCAGATTACTTAGACGATTTGAATTCGCAATTGAACGCAAATACAAGACTTTCGACTTTGACTTACAAATCACCAAAGTTAAAGTCTATACCAAATGCAAAGGCGATTAAGCAAACTAAAGTAGGAGCCCGTTCCTCCTCGTCCTCGATTAAGGCGAATAGTTTTCTCTATAAGACTTTGGCCTTTGGTTTGAGTTTGCTGATAATTTTTACATAACCAAAACTAGTTAGAAAATCCATAAACTAGCTTAATTTCGCAATATATTCAAAATATTCGTTACTACAGAACTAACCATCTTTAAAATTGATTTATCTTTGTTATTCTTCGTGGACTTCTTTTTACCAATTCAGGTGACAACGCATTTTTGTATGCTCCAAGGTGGGTAACAAAATTTATGCTGCTGTTAATTTTGCTATGAGACACCCAACGATGCTTTACACTAGCGATTAACGATATAATCGAGTAGCAACGCTGTGGCATTTCCTTCTTCGCTAGAAGGTATCGATCATGGAATAGGACGACACACTGAGTGCAGCCAAAGTCATTGTAGTTGTGGTTTTTTTTGTGAGTCGTTGAAAAATAGGATACTACTTAGAGATAGTGGTAGTGGTAGTTTACAATAAAACGATAAAACCGGTAGGAGCTAATTATTTAAGCTATCAACTATTCCATTCTCTATAGATATAGAAAGAAAAAAAAAAAAAAAAAAGAAAAAGAAAAAAAAAAAAAAAAAAAAAAAAAAAAATAAAATAAAAATAAATAATATATATAATAATAATAATAATAATAATAACGTAACGTAATAACTAATAGTATACGTTACGTACGTAAGTACGTACGTACGAACGACGTACGTAGTACGTAAGGTTAAGG